TAACTTTTTTTTTTTTTTTTGGTTTTTCGAGACAGGGTTTCTATGTAGCTTTGGAGCCTGTCCTGGAACTCGCTCTGTAGACCAGGCTGGCCTCGAACTCACAAAGATCCACCTGTCTCTGCCTCCCGAGTGCTGGGATTAAAGGCGTGTGCCACCACCGCCCAGCTGATAACTCTTAATTTCAACAACAGCTTTATTTCCTCCATCAAAACCAACATTATCTTTGGACTCACCTTTTTTTTTTTTTTTTGCCTTAGTGTCATGATTATCCAGAAATAACTTCATCATAATCAAGATGATAAATAATGTATTACTGAGAGGGGGAGTTTCCTTTAGAACGGAAATGGCCATCCCCAAGATGCAAATAAAAAAACGTAACTTAAAAAGAGAGGTGCCGGTTAAGAGGGGTGCTGGTGATATAGTTCAGCCAGTCAATGTCCCTATGGCCAAGCTGACAACCTTAAGTTTGATCCCTGGGACCCATATAGTACAAGAGAACTGACTCCTGCAGGCTGTCCTCTGACTCCAATCACAAGCCATGACATGCACACATACCTCACCCCCAAAACACACACAAACCAAACTATAGTTTAAAATTTTTCTAAAGAATGGGCATTATTTGTCCAAATAGTATCCCATAATTGAATCAGCACAACAAGCATGGGTAGAATGCCAATCTAGATGTGACGCTAACCTTTATCTGCTCACGCTCCTTCAGCCTGAGGAATGCCTGGTGCGTTAGTTACCTTCCTCCATGGAAAGCCACTCCACCTACAAACACCTACAAACTTCTAACACTTGCTTGTTTGGGACGGTGTTTAACGATTGAATTCAGGACCTTGCATGTTACAAGCAAACACTCTACTGTGGAGCTAATCCCAAAGCCATGATTTTGTTTTCAGGGAATCTTCATCCACTGTCTCTCCAATATTCTCAAGCATATATTCCCAGTTTTATCATCCTCTCCTCAATGATACCCTTCCATATCTTTATCTAATTTTAACAACCCTGTGCACTGAGCTATTCCATCAGCACCAAAGAATGCGCATATTTGAGTCGTAGATGCGCTGCCACAGCTCTCCCTGTGCATTTTAATACCTGCCAGCACCACCCCAGGTTAATATTCTATTTGTCTTCTCATCTCCTTCATCCCATGGCCAACAAGTGGTGCCGCCTTCCCTTCTACGGCGGCTCACTCACCCACCACCCACCCTCGACTTCAGCAGTTGGCATTGCTGCTCTTCTGGAAGCTATTTTAACAGACCCCCAACTGAAGCCACATTGCTCCCCATGTGGACGAGCCTTACAGTGTAACTCTGATAACATTGTTCTGCACTTAGCATGTCTTTGGTGTTCTCCACTACAAACCCAACATGCAAGACGCTTTATAATGTGGCCCTAACATTTCCACGTAGCCCCCTTTTCCCATGAAACCCTTCTAGCTCCTCAGCCTTCAACTCAACCACATTTCTTCCATTTCTGGATGCGGTCACATTTTCTTTCCTTCAAGTCTCCATACAGGTCTGTCCCCAAATCTCTGCCAGTTCTACTCCTACAGAATCATTTAGGTCTTATGCAAAATCCCCCAATTCTTCCTCGAATTTTCTGTCTAGTAATAGATTTTGTTTTTCTTCCCTAAAATCACCATGTATTTTCTTTATGATTCCCTAACAGTTCCGTGACACACCCTTTGGTTATCTGCCATACCCTCTCTATGTAACTTGTAAGGCTCTCATAGCTTCTGATTAGCCCATATTCTTCTCACACTGCCTTTCAGATAGCAAACTAAGAGAATGTTCAAGTTAATCTACATAGTGAATAGAATAAAAATGGAGTTAATTTATCAATGTTAATTAAACAAATTCTTAGGAGGCCTAGAAACTAAGCACTTTTTTTTGGTAGTTCATAACAGACTGGGATGTAGGAATCACTTTAGTTAAAAATGCAGAACAGCACAGATGTAACTGGTTCCTAAAACCAGAGTTGGGCTAGATTTTAGCAGTCATTCAATCCCTCTGTGTCAGCCTCACAGCTACATAAATGTGCAGTCTACAGCGCTTACCATTTATTTTATTTCTTATTTACTTTTGAGACCAGGATTCATCTAGTACAGGCTGGCTTTGAACTCACTAGGTAGCCAAGGATGACCTTGAGTTCCTGATCCTCCTGCCTCAACTTCCCAAGTACTGGGATTACAAGTGTGTGTTCCACCACACCCAGCTTTTGGTTACTTATTAAGAGCCCTGTACCCACCAGGTCCTTATACACCATGTCAGGCTCACACAATCCTTCGGTGTACCCGGCATCAATGCCGCCACCACTCACTCCACCACACACACAACAGAAGAGAGTGAGAGGCGGAGCTGGGGTCCAGGCTTTTCTACTGACCACTGTCACAGACCTAAGACCACTACACGGCCTAACCTCTGTCTCCTGCTGTGTCTTCTGACACTACTTATGCCAACTAAAAGGAAACACACACTAAAAGTTTCAAGCCACTTTCATTAAAACTTAAGAGACATTAAAATTATCTGGTAGCTTTATCACTATAAAGCTGTGAAGCCTGATCGTATTTGCCAGAAAACTTCTTTCCCAGTTTTTCCTTCTTAAAGATATTTTCAACAGAAAAGCCAGTTGTCCAACCACATTCAGCAAGTTTTTATTGAATCCCTGAGATGTGGGACATAGGAAGGTATGAATCTAGGCAGGATTTTACTCTCCGAAGGTTCACAAGCAAGAGGCAGACAATCTGCTAGTAGTAGGAACAATTCCTCTCCCCCTGTTGGTACCCAGGGGTGTCCAACAATATAAACTCCAGATTCTTGGTTCTAATCCCAGCTCTGCATCTTGAGCAAATCACTTCACTGCCTCTTCAGACAGAAACCTGGGAAAAAGGAAGACTGTAACCCAGCAACTTCAAGCTCTCTCACAGCTCCAAAATGCCGCGCTCAATCTTGAAGCTACACTTCCAAAAGTGACCACAGTTACCACAATGGAAGGAGAATGGAAGGGTGACCACGCTTACTTAGCAGTGGACTGTGGGAAAATGGAGTCCGAAAATACTGCTCCAAGATTGAGGCTGACTCCAAGTTCACTCTTTATAATAATAGACTTTATCAAGGTAGTCTCCTGGGGAGTATTAAATGTGACATTCAAATCTTCCTTCCATGACATTGCTGACTTATAGCCTTAGTCCTTTTAATATTCAATCGAGAAGTTTAAAGGATAAATTTAAGCAATACCTTTTACCTACCATTCTGTGGCGTTACCAACATTAACAAATTAAGAGTTAGGGCCGCTGACAGAGAAAGAAAACTTTGGGTTTGTTAAAATTAACATTCTACCATGTTAGTGTGGACAGCTTTCACTACTGCTAAGTATGAGTTTAGTTTCCAGGTAGGAAAGAGGAATGGGGAACTATCAGTGTTCAAACGAGTGGAAACATACAGATCAGTGATGATTTACCTTTGCTGATTTCACCTCAACATTTTTTGCACTTCCATTTTCAACCACTACCTGTATTTTCAATGGTTTGCTCACTTGGCAATGCACTCTAGTTCCAAAGCTCCACATCCTTCTTCATGCCAAGCGTCTTAAGACAGGATGGGTAAAGGTTTGTCAACTTGTGCGTTAACAGCATAGAGGAGAAAAACAATCAATCACAAGACAATTACAACAGTAAAGAGGCATTCAGAACCGCACCATATCGGTAGCTTGCCCACCAAAGGCAATGGACTGCAACTGTCAAAATGGTCCTGCCAAGAATCAGGAACACTATTTATTCAGGATGTCAACAAACCTACTGTGCCCAGACTATATGTGGGGCTTGTTGATTCCAGTATAGAAATTAAGAAACAGGAAAAGCACCCCCCCTTCTCTTCTCCGTGGAACTTACATTCTTGTAGGGCGAGAGCAGATCTACAGAATGCCTCCACAAAATATTATTAGCGATTAGGAGCTATGAGGAAAAAAGGACTATCGAGTAGTTGGCGGGAGGACCACGAACTAAGGAAGTCAAGTCACCAAGAGTATTTGTGGGGTCCGGCCACCGGAGGTGAGCCCCAATTGATGAGAAAACTTTGCTCTGTAGCCCTTCAAATGCGGGGTGGGGTGAGGATGAATCAAGTTAGCATTTAAGAATGACGACAGTCGGAAACATTCTGTATTCAAGAATGAAAAATTAGATGACCTTTTAAAACTAAACAAACAAACAAAAAACCCGAATCCCAGCTAATTTTTAATATCATCTCCTTAAGAGACCAACTGTTTAAGATCAACTTTTTAAGATTCTACTAATTACTTGAAAACTACTGAAGTTGACGCAATTACTAGAAGTCTTTCCAAGCCAGAGACCTCCTTCACTTGACACCATTCAAATTCTGAATGAGACTGGACCCGGGCCTGCAGCGAATCAGCGCCTCCTCTGCCTCATTAACGCAGCCAGGTGGAATTTCATTTCCCTTCCAGAAAACACTCAGCAAGGCTAGGGAAGGTGGGGGAGCCCAACACCCTCAAAGTTACAGTGGCAGGTTTAAAACACAAACACCCGCCGCGCTCTCGCATGGACTCCCCCCCCCCGCCCCTGCAGGCGTCATCACTCGCAGAAGGGCCGCTCTCCAGGGTCGGAGGCCCACGGCGAGTACGCGCGCGCGCGTGGAGCCCGCGTGAATCATCGGAGCGCGGTCCTCCGGGGCGATGATTCATTCACCGCTCCGGAGCTCACGGCCACACGTTCCCGGCGTACTATGACGGCCGCACACGCAGCTTCCTTAATATTAAACAAATGTTTCAAAGTACAGACGCCTGCAGCGAGAAACGCCTGGAGTCGGGGCGAGGTGGCGGGGAGCGAGCGTCCCGGGGCGGGCAGGGGCGCGGTGGGCAGGGCTGGTCTCCCCCCCCCCCCGACCCGACCCCCGAGGCGCGCGGTGGCGCACAGGTGGGTCCCCGCCGCCCTCGCCGCCGCGTTCCCGCTCGCCCCTCTGCTCTCCGTGGCATCTTATATAATAGCCCGAGCCGATCCAAACGGAAGCGGGGTGCGCGCTGCCGGGGCCGCCGGGCAGAGGTGCTCGAGCCCCGAGCCCGAGGGGCTCCCCACGCAGCTCCCACGAGACGGGGTGGAGGGGGGGGGAAGGCCCGGGCGCCCGCCCTACGCGTCCCCCCTCGCGAAGGCGCTCGGTCGTGGTCGGTCCCCTTCAGGAAGCCGCGAGCGTCACCAACTGCGTCAGCTTCTTCAAACACCGTGCCCTGTCTCTCTCCAGCCCGGGAGCCGCCACCGCGGGGCTAGGGCCGCGGGCCGCGCTGGCAGGCGCGTCTCGGGGGAGGAGAAAGTTCCCGGGGACCCTCCCGTCGCCCGCTCGGCCCAGCCGCACCGCCCGCACCCGTGCCCTGGCGTGGGCAACTTGGGACCCCCGGCTGCGCGCGGGCCCTCCCCCCCCCCCCCCCCCCCGCAGCCCGCTGAGCTCGCAGGGCTTCCCGCGGGGGATCGAGCCCAGGGCCCAGCGGAAGAACAGCCGCGCTAGAAAGTTCCCAAAGCCGGGAAGCCACCGGGGTCCCCGAGCATCGCTCTTACCTAGCTCTCGGGAGGCCACGTTCCGGGCGGGCCGCACGGGGCGCGTGGTGCACGAGCGCGCGCGCGCGTGGGGCGGTAGGTGAGCAGCCCGCGCGGGCGGGGGCGGAGCAGGGCCGGGTGGCGGGGCGCGAGTCGCGCGGGCGGGGGGTCCGGGTGGCCCCGGCGGCGGGAGGGCGGGGGTGGGGTGGGGTGGGGAGGGGAGGACGACGGCAGCCGAGCCCGCGGTGACGGCGGCGGCGGAGGCGACGGCGATGGGCGCGGGGCGAGCGCGCCAAGGGGGCGGAGGAGTTGCCAGAGGGTTTGTTTACGCATTGCTGCCCGGCTCGGGGCACAGCCCGCACTCCCTGATTGGACACAAACTGGGGCACAGCCTCTCGTCGCCGCCCGCCAGACCTTCTGGAGCAGCCGCCGCTGCCGCTGCGTAGCTCCTGGAGCGCCTGCCGGGCACAGCCCACCGCAGTGCCCCGGCCTGGAGGGGGACGGTCGGGGCGGCGGGCAGGGTGGGCGTGGAGCGAAGCGGGCGCCCGGGGCTTGGAGTAGCCCACCTGTAGTGGTGCGACCTTGGCAAGGAGAAACTTGAAACTTCGCTGGCTTGGAGGCTGCTTAGGCTCCAGCGGCTGATTAGATACCCCACTCCATCCCCTCCACCCCCACCCCCACCCCCACAGGAAGCTTGCCCTTGAGCAGATAGAAAAGCAGCTCTAGTATCGGTATGTCTTTGGTCAAGTCGAGGCTTCTTGGAGAAACTGACCGTGGGCGCTCGCAGTTTTTTTTCTGCCTCCCGCTCCTCTGCTTTTAATCGCACACCTTCACACGACATTCAAAAGTGGTCCTCCCAGAAGTGACCTCCTCACCCCGGTGCTAAGCATCCTCTGAGGGCTTCGCATGATCTCAGCTTCCTTCACGGCCAGACCTCCACAGCTTCAGCCTCCTCTCTACTATCCATCCAACTGTCACCTCAGAACCTACGCCTGAATACCACGCCTTGAATGGTTTGGTAGATTTGCATTCCCTGGATCCTGTACTGTTCTCTGTCGGAGAGCACCAGGGTTCCCTGTACCTGTGCAAGTGGTCCCAGACTCAGCTCCCTTTCTTCGGTCCACCATTTGTATTTAGTCTTCTGGACTCCCTGGCGACTGACATCAGCCTGACTTAGGGATCAGTCGTGTACCTATGCTGTGCACGCCTCCCCGCCCATTCCGTAGATGTCTTAAGGAAAGTGGCCAAGTTTCAACAGGGCTCCAGCAACTGGGAGAAATGGAACTGAAGAAAATCCCGTGTTGTCTTAGTGTCTGCCATTCTGCTGGGTCCGGAGAACTTGGAGTCTGAAGAACTGAGAACACACACCTCACCTTGTCAAAAGCAAATGCTTCAAATTCACGCGTGTCCTCTGTGTTTCCTGTCTCTGTATTCACTCCCCACATCTAACTATGCCTCTAAAGTCACAACAGCCCTGTGTGGAATGTGACTGAGTGCTGTAGGAAAGTTCCTTAAGGGAAGGCCCATGGTGGCCAAAGTGAATAAAGTACATAAATCATGAAGCAACAGACACAAATTCAATCATTTTACAGATGATTAGGGACACTAAGAGCCCTCCAGTCCCGGTGAAATACATGGATTCATCTCTGTCTGATCAAACACTACTTCTAATATGTCATGGGATGGACCCTAGTCCTGCTTGACTCCTGGGATGGCTGGATTTCTTTCTCTAGATTTCTCTCCATTGGGAAAACAGCTGAACTCTGGAGGAGCATCAAATGAACGTTTTCTTTCTCAAATAATTCACATTAGTTACAAACACATTGAAAGACCTGTAAATGCAATCAGGGGAGGGTGATGCCACCCTGAGAATGGTAGCACCTAGAAGCACCTTCTCCCCTAGGGCTCCAGAGCAGTGGAGCAGAAATCACAGAGTGCAGCTTCTCCTGGAGATGCCTTCAGAGCAAAGGCTCCTTCCTCCCACCCTTTCCTCTCAACCTCCTCAGTCACCGTGTGGAGAAGGCAGAAGCTAGTACACATGTGACAGTGCTCACACGTGACAGGTGTTGGGGAAACGGGAATGAAGCTGAGAGCGTAGTGATGAGTGACAGGTGCCCCAGGCTTGGGTGCAGCACCTGGTTGCCTCTGGGATTCATCCTCCAGGTCAGTTTCTGCAGTGTGGCCAAACATTTCCCGCCTAGCCCTGGCACTTTGATCTCCCCCACGTATCTTTCTTTCATTCTTTCTAGCCTTCTCTTTCTCATCACAGCTTCCTTAGGCTTTTCTTTTCTCATCCCTCTCACTTTTCCCTTAGTGTTTCCTTCCTGTCTCCTCCTAGCTCTTCCTCTCTGAGTTCTCGTCATACCATCCCTGTGTCAGCTGTAGGCTGTGGTATGAAAGCCATGTCCTGCTTCCCATTAAGGCATTCATCTTAGGCACTGCCATGTTGTGGCCCTTCCACACACAGTGCTAGACAGTTTGTATATGTTATCTTGCTTCTTCTTCACCATACACTCGTTGGCCCAGCACCGCTGGATATGATTCGGTGGCTTGCCAGTCATCTGTCGCAAAGGAGACTTTGTTTACACAGGTCACTAGACACTGGCAACGGTCCTCTTCCTGTTCGTGCTGGGGGTTCCCTCCTCACGTTTGTATCCTTGGTGCTTTCCTCTCATTATCAGAAACACCTCCCCGAGCCCCAAATTCCAACAGTCCAGTACATCATTTTAAACCTCCAAAGATTCACAACAGCTACACAGAGGAGCTAGCATTCTGGTTTTTGAAGGATGGATAAAATTGAAAAGCTGAAAATTGATGAAGGAAGAGCATTTTTGGTGGAACAGTAGATACTATGATCTGACTGGTTGAAATGCAAAGGAAGGCTAACAAATTAGGGCGTGTTTCAGAAAGTTATCTTTATATCACAGTTCCCCGCAGTGGTGTGTTCAGAAACACAGACTAAATCCTAAATATATGTATGGTCCATATTATTCGAACCCTAGTGTTTTAAGGCCAGCTGCGAAGAGGTACTAACACTGTCTAGCCCCAAATGTTTTAAAGTAAGAGAACTACAGCCTGCAAGATTTGGATGTCTGAAGGTTAAGCTGATTAAACACGGCCATTAAAGTCTACCCATATTCAAATACCTTCTTTGATAAATAATGGGTTGTATGACGTTGAACTTACATGTGATTAAATTTCTTTCTCAACACAATAGGGAAAATAACATCATCTACTTCAGTGGCTTTTGTGAAAATTAAATATTATATATAAAACACTCTATAGTCAGTTTGGACAACAACAAAAACAGCCGTAGAGTAAGTAGCTTAAACAACCAACATTTGTTTCTCACAGTTCTAGAGGCAGAAGTCTGACACCAGGGTCTGTGAGAATACGCCTCCTTTCAGGAATGCAAATGGTCAACTCCTTCCATCTTGGCAGTGGAAAGAGGGTGAGTGAGAGACTTACGTTTTCTTTCTTTTGTGGTTTATGGGTTTACTTTGGTTGGTTGGTTGATTGGTTGGTTTTTTTTAAGACAAGGTTTCTCTATGTAGCCCTGGCTGGCCTGGAACTCACTCTGTAGACCAGACTGGCCTCAAACTAACAGAGATCTGCCTGCCTCTGCCTCTTGAGTGCTGGAATCAAAGATGTGTGCCACCACCGCCCAGCTACCAGGATCCTTTTCATGAGAGCACTCATCCCATTCATGCAGACTCCACCATTACCACCTAAAGCTCCTTCCAAAAGCCTCACCTTCAATACCATCACCCTGAGGATGAGAATTTCAACAGATGAAATCCGAGAGTTCACAGATAGTCTGCATTATGAGTATGGAGCACAGTGCCTGGGAGGTCGTACTCAAAAAACATAGATGCATATTATTATGCATCCAATGCCATCAAGCTAGAAGATGCCTGATCCAGAGTGAGCCTCACTCAAGCTTCTAAAGCCCAGATTGAGCATTTCTGATACTGGGAGTTCTAGCGTATAGTACCTGTTTGATGCCATCTGTGAAAACACAGCACTGTTAGTTTGCTGTTTAAAGTAGGTCCCAGCCAGGCATGGTGGCACACACCTTTAATCCCAGCACTTGAAAGGTAGCGACAGATGAATCTCCACATGTTCAGGGTCAGCCTGGTCTACATGATGAGTTTCAGGACAGCCAGGGCTATGTAGTGAGATGTCTCAAAAAAACAAAACGACAACCAAAAGAGGTCTCGGTTGTATGTCTAGCTCTAATTCCTTTCTGTTTCCTCATCATCCCTGGCTGCCCTAGCATTCCAGGAGGAGGTAGGGAGCATAAAAATTAGTTGTGGACATTTCATCATCAACAATAGTGTCCAAGTTCTGATATAGTAAAACTTAAGTAATTTAAATTTCAGAAACCTCAAAGTCATTGAATTAGATTTATAGTACTCTAAGCCCATGTAATATCAAGCCTACCAACTTAAAATGGAAGATCTGTAGGAGATTCACTGGGAGCATGAAAAAAGCCTTCAGAATGTCCAGTCTATTATAGATTACCTTCTTCCTTTCTTAGTCCCTGATTCTACCCTTCAAAATTCCCCTAGACCCACAAGTATTATGTAGCCTACTCTCAGGACATAAGCATCTTAAGACGATGAAGCATTTGACCTTTTATCTCAAGAACCTAGCTCAGCGGCATGCACTCTGAAGGAATCTCTTCCTCCCGACCCTTCAAAACATGGTCTCCTTGGGTGACTGTAATGGCTAGATTGTACCCTATTCCATTAATTTATCAGAAAACATGCAGCTTCTGAGTGTGGGATAAGTGTGCAATCTACAATATAAAGAACATTTGAAGAAATTAATTTTAACGTTGTACATTGAAGCAATATTTTAGGAGGGTTGGGAAGGCAATTTTTAGCCATTGGACTTTTTTTGTAACACCTTCAAACCACACAATACAAACTAAACCTTATCCAAAAGTAAAGGCTACTTAACTACCACCGTTATACACTTTGCTTTAATTAATATACAGGTTGCTCAGTTCTATATGTGGCTATATTATCCTGTCAAAGTCAGTTCTTAAAAGACACATTTTCCTTAATCTTAAAAAGTCAGTAATTGTTCCACTTTTCTCTCTTACTTCAAAACAAATTTATAATTCAATATTTGATCTCTAAAAGCGACCTTCCATTTTCCCAGCTTCACTGACATGCCTTTTCTAGGAAGTTGGAAGGGAGCAAAAGGCTTGGTTCTAGATCAGCTACTCATTTCATTAAAAGGAAACTGCCACAAAAACTGAGGGCAGCGTGATAGCTCATTGGGCAAAAATGCTTTGCCACCAAGTGTAATGGCTCCAGTGGAATCCCTGGGACCCATATGGTGCAAGGAGAGAACTAACTCCCACACATCATCCTCTAACTTCCCCATGCAAGCTGTGGCATGCCTCTGTGTGTGTGCAGACATGTACACACACATGAACACACAGACAGAGAGAGAGAGAGAGTAAATAAAAGTGTAAAACAGGTAGTGATAATAGCGGCAAAATCTTGCATTCACAAAGCACATGCTCACACTCCACGTCCTTACCAGGCATCTTTGAAACATACCTGGATGAACCACATTGCCCAAACCCTTCCCCAGTTCCCCATTTCCACCTGTCACTACCAACCACTGGAGCCCTTTGAAGTTGGCGATCTTTGACTCCTCCTTCGCTTTATGCCTCCACACCCACTTCAGTTTGTCTCCCTTAGTTGTCCTTTTGGTCTGAACTAGACCACAATTGAACTAGACCATAATAAAGATGAGGACATCTTTACAATTGTATTAGAACAATGGTTCTGACTTTGCTTTCTCCCACCCCTGTCTCTTACACAGTGGCCCTAGCAGAACGATTTTGACGTAACCCAACTTTATATATTAATGAAAAAATAGCACTATTTGCCATATAAAATGAAATTTAAACATGAATTTAAACCTTCAATAAACTGTACATTTATGAATGTTAAACAGTTCCAGTTCTGAAATATGTTAGTGACGAGCCGTGTGACCTTGGACACACTTAACTTCCATGAACTGCGGGATCTTGGATGGTAGCTGGTGATATTAGTATATGTGCCTAACTCCCAGGATTATTTGAAAATTAAACAATGGGATAATGAATGTAAAGTGCTTGAAATAATAGTTGTAATAGTCTATGGTATTTACCAAGGTCTTACTTTTCAAGAATTTGAAATCTTCAGATGAATAATCTTATATCAAGCTTACAACATAGATGGCATTACTATTCTTGGGTGAGAAACTCAGGCCTGGAGGAATTATGAAACAAGGTCACCTAGCTAAGAGGTGGTTGAGCCAGGCTTCAAAATCGGGCTAACCTGTGTCCTACAGTCTGATTCTTGAAAAGAGCTTATAGATGGTGGGTCACTTTACATCCTTTATTTATTATCATTAGTAAAGCCTTACAATGAAGAAAAAATTCCTTCCCCTACTCTCCTTTCAGGTTTCTTTCTGAAATCGGGTCTCAGCACCACTCTAGGGAGAGGCAAATACGTCACGGTTAAATGCACTGGGTACAACTGTTTCTGCTTTTCAGAGGGGCAAGAAGGGTGGCTATCCTGTGCCGTCTGGACCCTCTCATTTCCCTGATCTCTCTTTTCCCTTCTGCCTTCCACTGTATCTTCTGTTCTGTGTTTATTCCTTGCACTTGCTCTAGGGATGGAATACTCCTCGTGTTTAACTCTGTGTCTTCCACCCCAGATGACTTAGGAAAGGGAATCTCCCCACCAGCTTCCCAGCGAATATTTCTTTCCATCTCTGAAGTATTTTCATTTCTTTCCCTTGGGGTATATTGTGCACTGTGGTTATGAAATGGTCCCACTTGATTGTCTTTTGTTCTTTAATGATGCTAAAAAACAAAACAGAATATCCTATTTCTGGTATTCTATGAATTCTTCTTTGGCCTCGTATTTCTGCATTGTATATCACTTTCTGTGCCTCCCCTACTCTCTCGCTTCGTGTGTGTGCATGTGTGTGTGTATGTGTGTGTGTGTGTGTGTGTGTGTGTGTGTGCATGCATGTGTGTGTGCGTGTGCGTGTGCGTGTTGCGTGTGCGTGTGCGTGTGCGTGTGCGTGTGTGTGTGTGTGTGTGTGTGTGTGTGTGTGTGTGTGTTTCTCCCTGAGCATCTGGTTGTTTATATTTGAACATCTGGCTTTTTTGATTAATAGCAAAAATTGACCTTGGCCTTCTAATAATGAGATTTTTATAGATCCTAGAATCATAAAATGTTAAAGCCGGAAGGACTCTTGTAGATAACAGAGGTTCACACATTCCTTTTATAGTGAGAAACCAAGACTCAGAGAAGCCACATATGAGAGGAGTGCTATGTGACCTATAACAAGAGGAAGCCTGAGGCAATCCCAAGACATATCCTTCATTTCTTCTTTATGAGTTGAGTTAGGACACCTGAAAATACTACTATGTAAAATGTATAAGTACCTTCTCCCAAAATGGTTAAGTTTTCATATTAGTGTTTTTTTAAAAAATACATATTTCCGGAGGGATAGGAATTTCAGGAATGAAAAAAAATCATGCACAGGCAGATAAGAGTGATGAAGAACTGGGTTGTATCACTTAATGATCATATTTCTTTCCCAGTGGTCCTTGCTAGAGTGTCTGCTGCACATTACAATCTCAACAATGTTGATGGCAGTGATGGTGAGTTATGACAAGGTCTCCTATTCCTGTGTTCTCAGTTCTTTCCCACTGTTTCGTTCTTATAATTCCAGTTATTTCTGACTGTCGAGGCTTTCAGAATGGTGTGTCTAGTTTGGGATTCTTTATGAGGCACGAGGTGGTGATTTAGTAGCTGCCGTCCATGGTCACAATGACGATGACTTAAAATGACTTCAGATGGAAATCTCTACTCTCCACCATAGGCAGAGGCACAGATACAGCCTCTGAACCCTTTCTAGATCTGAGGAAGTGTGTTCCTAAATTTGACCAGTTATTGCAAAGAGCAGTCCCTGGCCAAATAGTTTGGAAAATATCAAATGGAACAAAACCCCGGTTTAGGGTTGATTTGCCTTGCTTCTGAAGGAATTCTAAGTGTCTTTAAAATACTGATGTGAATCCTGCAGATTTGTACGTAGGAAGGACATAACTACATAGAATTATGTGAACATTTTTTTACCTTAAATCAATATCTATTAGATGTGTTTCTAAAGGATTGGTGTCATATAAAACCAACTTGGAAAGTGTTCTTCTTTGGGTTTTAATTAAACAAATTGCATATACTCAATTTGTTCTAAAACTAGTTGTTCCAGATGATAAGATAATTGAACCAAGGATTTTTTTCTTCTTCAGTGCAGTGAATGAAACTGTGTCTCCTCTCTTCAGTTATCATTTCAGAACTTAGATGCTATTATTCCTTGGTTTGGAATTTCTCCATCAGAGAAGTCATAGGCTATTTAAGCCAGGTCTCA